TAAGTATTGATGTCTGTGCTACAGCGCTACTGTCCATATTTTCAAGGAATAATGATAAAAATTTCACAGATAAATCGGTCAAATTAAGTGTAGACGTCTCTCGCTACCATTAACTTTTCATTTGACAAAAATAGAACTTTTTTTATTTAGACAAAATGTGACCAATTACATGTGAATTCCCAGAAATATCTTAATATAAATACAATACTTTAATGTAATGACAAAAACAATGCTACTAGAATGACAACAATCATCGTTTCCTCCACCCTCTCGGCTATTCAAGTTTCACATTGCACTAAAATATAAGTATTATAACACAATGTTATTCAATAAATTAGTCTAAAATATAAGTATTGTACCACAATGTTATTCAATAAATTAGTTAACTGACTTTCTTATTAAAATTTAAACTGAAATTTTATGAACATAATTTACATTTCATGAAAAATACTCATCAAATTTCAACAAAAAAATTCTCCCAAAAGTACCTTAAATGGAGACAGCTGTGATAGCATAGCACAAACATATATAATGCGGTTACAATGAAAATAATACTTAACGCAAGAACATGATAACACACATTTAACCTAATGTGATGCACAAATAGAGATCATTTAGTGCACTTTTCAACTTTACTCATACCGAGTCAATATTAATTATTAAATAATTGTAGTGTCATTTTGGTAGATATTATGTTTAACACGAAAGAATGTAACAAACGATTCTTATTGTACATCATATTGGGATATACGTGAATGTTCTCACATTCTCATGCTAAACATTATTCTCATTGTCTTTAATCTATATTTACGTTAAACATGTATGTGTGTTCATCCCATACATCCATGATCCAACTAGAGAAATGTTGCTAGTCCACCGGGTAAATTTTAAACTAATGATATCAAATCACAAGAAATTACAATCCCTAAATCCCAAACAAATCCGAGTCGGAAATGCAAAATTGAATTGCCTAATTTACATAAGGTGTTTTGGTATGGTAGCTACACTGACAACAAATCACGTATATTCCATATTTAATGACTTAATTCTTGCCATTGGATCGTTACCCTTCAATCCTTCATCATTCATGTAATAAGAATATTTTACTCCCCATTACCAATTTACCATCCCTGCAATCAAAGTATGATTCAAACTGAGAGCCATGCGATCAAGTGGGCAACCCATAAAACCTATCCAATGAAGTTTGTAGAAAGTACATAAAGCTCTCAGAACTTTTTGGATGCATCCTTCATTTGCTCCATAATCTCTTTCTTCTTCTGTTCAGCTGGAAATGTCCATTAAGGCCATTATAAGACAAATGAATTAACACTTCCAATTTTCCAAGCTAAAAGAGTGAGCACATGGGCAGATTTGTCACGTACCTAATTTAGAGACCTCCTCAATCCTTCTGGATGTCCTCACAGCAAATCTCTGGAATGCTGGGCTATAAAATTCAAAAACATTTTGGGCTCAGGGCTTAGTAGTTTTCCTATATCACTATTAATATTACTATGGCATTCCAGGTATGACTGGAAAATTACAGTAAAACTACTAGTAGATCATTAGAATGTTATGTCAAATAGAATTTATACAGAATGACAGTGTACATTACAGTGAAGTCGGGCTTATTTTCTAACAAAACAACTTACTTTATGTATGATATGTAAATGCTCTCTCAACCCCTAAATAGTGTTCTTATTTTACTTTTTATATTAGCCCTAAATGCAGTTTCTGTAAAAGTAACAGTCTTACTACTACAATCATCTAATATTTCAACCTACCACCATTGGTTATTCTCAACCACATATCACAAGAGCAAGCTTGAAAGTCAAATCAATACATTTGAAAGTGTGATATGGTCAAAACCGCAACAATTACACTTGGAACATTAAATAGAGACTGAAAATAAAGTTAAAGCATTACAATATAATTACCAAACTGCTTCAGAAAAATGACACCTTCTCTGCATGATGCTTAAGGTTCACACAAAACAGCATTTCACTCAATAAAAATGGATCCTTGATAGGAAGTCACAAAAAAGCAACTTCAGATATTGCAACAGATTAATGTAAATAAACCATTTACGATAAGAGAATGTCTTATTTTATGTGGTAGAAATTTAATAATAAATTAATACCCTAGTCATCCCAAAATAGTGAGTCCTATTTTATTTTTTCCAACAAAAAGAAAGAGTTGGGTTTAAAAGTCAAGTACAATTTCCAAATGGATTTCTTGTAAAGCAGATAACACCAATTAATCTTGGAAATAAGTTTGAGAGGTAAAAGTAACGATCCATAACTCATAAATGCTTATACCTTGAATGAAGTGACTGAAAAATACCATCATCCGTATCGTATTAGTCACAACATTGCAATTTATACACTATTCATGTACTTCGATAGAGACCTCCAAGAATCCAAAACAATTACAGAAAGAGATCAAGAAATCAAACTGAACAGTAATAGTAACAATTGGCCGAAGCTCCCAGATGAGCCGAAGCCCCCCAAAAAGAAAGACAGAGCTCTAACTTCCCAGTCTAAGACAAAGTCTAAACAGCCTCCTTACTAACTCCCCCTTTCCATCTATTTATACTAGAATACTCACAGACCCTTACCACTAATATTATTTCTATTATTAGTCTAATAAGTAGGTCCCTATCATACTTTGACTACATTTTATTAATTAATGTATATGAATTTTTCTTTAAAAACTATTGTTGAATTCGTCTCATTACTAAGTTTCATAATCTGATTGTTAATTTATTTTCTTATATAGAATTAAATATAATGACGGTCAAAGTTGTGCGTTGGCAAACTTGAAAAAGGAAATGTCGCAACTAAAAAAGAACATAGGAAGTACTTTGTAAGAAGTTGCACCTTACATGAACAAGAGATTTTCTTTAAGGACGGAGAGAGTAAAGACTAATCTTATTGAAAGTTAACATGCTGGGTTTTATAAGATTTGAAGAATAGCTTCAAACTACGCAGCATCTATAACAATAACATGTCCACTGATTAGTCATTATAAGGTTCTTTACAAAATGAGAAAAGGGTCAGATAAGGTCTCGAACTTACAAAAAATGTCAAATAAGGCCTTATATAGGAGGTTCTGTCCGGCCGACGCCATTTGGGGCGGTTCCTGGTGGAATTTTTCGATGAAGTTATGTGAGCATCTTATTCATTAAGTCTAGTTTACTCATACCAAATTTCAGCTAAAACTTCAATCGGGAAGGCATTCAAATAAATTCTTGAAAATAACTGCGCTTTTAACTGCACACTTATCTTCAAGAATGTATTTGAATGCCTTCCCGATTGAAGTTTTAGCTGAAAATTGGTATGAGTAAACTAGACTTAATGAATAAGATGCTCAAAAAGTTTCATTGAAAAATTCCACCGGGAACCGCCCCAAATGGCGTCGGCCGGAGAGAACCTCCTATATAAGGCCTTATTTGACGTTTTTTTGTAAGTTCGAGGCCCTATCTGACCTTTTTCCCCTACAAAATTTATCAAAACCAAGAACTAGGAAAGTCTTACAATTTTACTTCACAAATCCTTTTTCAAAATCCTAAACATCTTCTCCCTAGAAGTCAAAATAGAAAGTAGAAACAGCTCCAGTTGTCTGTAAATTAACATCATAGAACAAGAGCATGTAATTTGTAATATGTATTCTCCAACTCATTTAACTGATTGTGAATTTGGATCCAAGTATTTTTGCTTTATGGCATGCTACAAGCCATTCATTTCCAATGCATATCTTTATGAACTATGAATTCTCTCATTTCACTTTATAAAGATGCTAACTTCAAATTATAAATAAAATCGTAAGAAAATAACTGCACTAATGCCATGTTGACAACCCATGCTTCCATAGATAAAATGAAAGCCTCCTACTTTTAGAATTGTAGAGCAGACATCTCTGCAATTGTTAGAAGCCTAAGTCTAATCATCATCATCAGCAGCTAATCAGCTTCACAAGAAAATATAACAAACCTAAACATTCAAGTTTCACGAATTTCAAATATAATCTGTAATCGACATCATCCATCTCTTCCGATTACATGTTCAAGATCCATATCCTCCATGTAACATCCATAGGCACAATCAATTGACAACATATACGAGGAATTCAACTCATAAGTTACGCATAACGCATGTATCCACCGTTACAAAGCAATCAACAGGCGATCGTAATAACAAACCCAACACACAAGGAAAATACATACCTGTTGGCGAGCCCGTTGACAACTACTTCATTAATAACATAAGAGAGAACTCGTTGCATGAAGTTACCGCCTCCAGCCATGTCAAGTTTAAGCTGAGAAGAGCACCTGAGACTATGAGAGCCACAGAGGTTAGGGTTGCGAAAATATGACGGAATTCAATGGGCGGGCCATAGGTTCACTGGTTGGGGGGTTTGGAACTTGGAAACGTAATTCATCACTTCAATCGGTTAGATATTTTAAGTTCTATCTTGACCATTTTTTTTTGCAAAACTATCTTGACCAATTTTGAGATTCGTATTGGATCAAGTAAAATTACTTGTGCAAAATGCACTTGTGATTTTTTATTTATTTTTAAATTAGGGGATTGACATAAATAATAAATAACGTCCATTAAAAAAAATAAAGCCAAAAACAATACAAGGACATTTATATGGACAAATATTAGAATAGCTATAAATTTGGACAAATTATTGAATAGACTAAAACACACTTAATTAAAAATCTAAATACCCTAAAACACTCTTAATTAAAAAGACAATATCATCTCTGTCATCGACCAGTGATGGTCTTTGATTATCGTGTTCACTGGACCGACATTGATCACTAACGACGACGAGTCATTGGAGCGCAACATGTATGTGTGTCAATAACAACGCCTTGACGTCTCAATAATCAAGACACCAGTAACTTCAAAGTCTAGTGGCTACATGTTCCAATTATTCCACCGCTCCAGTTCCCTCACCATTGTAGTGAGAGCTACATTACTCAGGTTAGTGACGCTGTCTCGGACCTGCATGAGTAGCTCAGTTGGTCACATGAGTAAAATTTAACACAAGTGGTCCATGATCAGGTCTCGTTAGGGATAGTGTGGGAGCAACCTCTCAAGGGGGAAATGTCATTAAAAAAAGAGTGAAGGAAAAGACTCCAATTACTATAATTGATAGTTTTGTGTGTGGTTCACATATAGTCCTCTAGATGGTACCATAGTCCATAAAGACGGGAAAACTTTCAAGTAGAGACAACCAAATTTTTTACCCTCTCTCCATTGGATTAATTATCATTCTCCACAATAATTGACAAATATTTTTTTGTTATATGACGTTCAATTTAGCAAATCGAGGAAATATGTTACTCCCTCCCGTCCTACTTATCAATTCAATTTATCTCAATTGCAAATATTATAAATTGAATAAGAAAAATATTAACTCTTGACAATGTGCATAATTATCACATTTTTTTTGAAAACCAAATAACAAATTTATTCATATCAAATAATAGCAAAGAAACAAGTAAATGAATAGTCTAAGGCTACAATAGGATGAGACTTTGAACAAAAAAGATTCCATGAATCCTTCTTAATCGCTAACCCCACAATAATGTAGTCTAGTCTAACAGACTTGCTGCACTTGCTACTCCAAATAAAAAATAAAAAATTGCAAATAAAAAATTCGGCTTCACCAGCCACTGAAAAGAGATAATTGATTTGACCAGCAACCAACAAAAGAAACTCTATCAAGCCTAAATTGTCTGAATCATCGGTTTGACCAGCCACCGCAAAGGAGATCCAGTTGAGCGCTTTCATTTTCCCGGAGCGAGGTGGTGGTTCAGGTGGAGGGCAAATAACTAAAGCCTCAAAACAACAAAATCGAAAAAGGTTTTCCAACCATGAACAACGTAACGAAAACTCACGAGATCGATTGCTCCGATGAGAAATCCACATATCGATAGGAGAAAAACACACCACACGCTCACATGAGACAGACAAATTTCTCAGCCAAAGAAGATGTCGAATCAAAACCCTCAATCAAAGAAGATGCTGGACAAAAACCCTCGAAAGTAGAAATTAAACAAGACTTGAAGCATATACGGAAGAAAACACCGCCATCTTCCAAAGTCAGATCTCGCATGAGGTGGGAGATGGCTCCCTGGGGTTTCCCCTAGGGTCAGCCACTAATTCTTCTTTTATGTCAATTATCACATTTTTTTTAGTTTTGATGTATTAGAATTCTCCTCTCTTTTCCATATTCAAGTTTCAAGGTAACTCCTATTAATCCTCTTACATGAAATCTGGAAAAGATCAATTACTTTAATTTTTTGTTAATTATTAAAAAACATCTATTAAAAGGAATTATCAAAGTTTTTTTTTCTAAATTAATGCTAAAAACAAAATTATTTACTAAATTAGGGTCAGATTAATTTTTTTTATCAAAATACTGTTTAATCAAACCACACTTGGCCAAAATCGCCAAATCTATCAACGACTTTCAAAACGCCAAACTAGTTGTCTTCTTTAGAGGAATACGCCAAACGGATTGCAGCTCATGTGAACAAGGAGGAGAGATGAACTTAGTAGGGTCCAAGTATTCAAAAAAAAAAACTATTTTTCTTTAAAATGTTACTCCCTCCATCCCCCTAATATTGAGACGGAAGAAAGTGGTGTGAGTTTTAAGAAAAGTAGTATTATGTGGTTGATGATGAATTGATAAAGTGGGAATAAAGTTAGAATGAATTAGAATCACACAAATCTTACCAAATATGATATGAGACAATAACAATGGGACATCCAAAAATGAAAAAATGGGATAATTATAGGGGGACAGAGGGAGTATAAGATAGAGTTTTTCCCAAAATAATGTTAAATGTAAAAATAATTCCCAAAATAAGGTCAGATTAAAAATATTTCCCAAAAAAATGTTCCCCTAAACCCTGGTCACGAGAACCGTCACTTCAAGTGGCCGCTTATGGAAAGTGATATATGCATAAGTGATATGCACGTGCCAAGCAGTCAAAAGGGAACATGACATGGCGGTCCCACAAAAAATAAAATCTCATTTTTATTTAAAAGTGACTAGTTTAATAACGCGCGTTGCGCGTTCGTGGTAATGCCCAATGCCAATGTAGGGACAACAATATCTCAATTAAGGTTTAATGAAAACATGACTAATATGAGTACAATAGTTGAATACATAATTTGTTATTTATGGATAAAGAATCATAAACAATAAAGCATTTATAGGATAGAATATATGTGGGAAAATAAAATAGTCAAGATGATTATAATAAACATAATAGTAGTGAGATTCACATGAAACAGTAGCATGTATTTGTGTTTTATATGAAAACACACATAATAAACACAAAAATGTTTTAATTGGAGAAATAGTCAAATATGTATTGGGCTGTAGCGCTTGAAGAAAATTAAAGCATAAATTCTAAGAAAATAGTTCGAGTAATAGAAGTAGTGGGAAATAGTGATAAGCAATCAAGCTTTTTTCTTGCGCTTGAGATCAACAGGGGAGTCCTCTACTCCTAAGTGTGGGAGCTTCATCTTTGATGAAGGTGGGGTTGGTGGATCAATGTTGGTTGTAACAATGTAATGAGATGCATCATGCAAGGATGTTATGGTGTAGGAGGGTCCTAGCTTGGTTTGATAGGGGTACGTACCTCAACTGTACAATATATTCTTCTTTATCCAAGCGCTTATTTGCATATTGAAATGATGCATTCTTTCCCTTCATAATTTATAAAGAGGGGTCAACATATTGTGCAGTGTGAAATTATAGTAGTTCATGTATATAAATTTAAAGTATTGAATTATTGTGGGTTGGTAAGTGGTCAACCTGTAGCTCTACTTCCATAATCTGTTTGCTAGTCATGAGCAGAAGTTTCTCAACGCATTGCCCAAAAACCGAGGCATCAATTGTTGAAGTAACATCGGTGATTGAGACATTAACTTTGGATCTAACAATTTCATAAAAAATCCAAGAATTGTCATTAGAGTTTTGTTTAACTTTTTTGCCTCAGAAATGGTTGACCATATATTTAATGGGTAATTTTGATATCTGACCTTGGAGTACCAATTGCATCCTCCTTACCACAATGCATGCAAAAAACTCGGGTATCACAATCTGCATAAATTGTTTTCAAACAGTTGCTATAAGCCATATACCAAAGACTATCACCTTCAAGTTGCAGATTGATTTTGCCGTGAATCCAAATGGGCTTCGTCTGCAACATGTCAACCAATCATTGTTATGATGAAACCATGAAATGATATTTTTAGTTATTTATTTTAAGTTTTGTAGAATATACCGGATCAATGGATGCAGGTACATCAGATATTTTGGAAATTTCTTCTACGACTGGAACTGCAAGGTTAATTGCCGCGTTATCATATTCACGACATATCTTTAGTGCATCAAGAGTAGGACGATTGTCAATTTCCCTGCATAAAGCAAGGTGGAACAAATGTTAATGTGAGAACATACGCAATGAATTGGTACAAGATTGTATATTTATATGTGGTGTAGTGACGTACCACCTTTGCAATTGCTCAGCTCTTGAAGATGTTGGATTGATGGTGATTGTAGAATGCGGTTTTGTGGACAATGAAATACCTTCAAAACCCGTATATATAGTGAAGATATACATCACAATGTGATGATGAGAATTTAGAACAACAATAATTTTATAGAATTTGGTATGTAGGTATATTATACAAGTATAACATTATATGGAGGAAGAAGATGCATATGGTCTTGCATAATTTGAAATAGAAAATACCTTAACTACAATGTATTGACAAAGGGGACATGTGTAGCTAGGTATATATATGTTCCGTTATTAGAAATAGAAAATATGGAAGCTTTGAAATATGCACCACCACCCACCATCATTTTAAATCCAAATATATTATTAATACAAATGTTATATAAATGATTTGAAACTTCATAACAATTATTTTATATCCATCATTTTCTTGTGGCATCAGAATCTCCATATTCTGCTAATGGAGGTCTTATAAGATTAGAGACCAATTATCAATTATAAAACATGTGTTTGATCAATTAGCTGGCCATCAGAATCTCTGCTTGTTTTATAAGATTCAAAAAGTATTACTTTTGTATATATTCATAAAACTATTAGTTTTGTCTATTGATAAAATATGTGTTGGGAAAACATTTTTTTGAAAATAATTGGCAGTGATTATGATAGGTACTTATCTTTGAAGGCTGTCACACTTATATTTATTTTCAATGGATATGACGGGGAATTCTTTTGCATTCAACAAGTTGACAATCTCAATTCCCTCATTATCAGCAAATTCTTCCCAAAGAGTTAGTGCTATTGGTTTCAGCCTGTAATCATATGCATTTTTTATTGATTTATACAATTGAATGAATGGTTGTGTGATAAATAAATGTAAGTCTTATTCCAAACATACTTTTCATCAACCAACACAAGCTCTTTGATATTTTTATCACCCTTACTGATGGGAATGACTTCCTTTGGGAGCTTGTCTATCACAACACCCATAAGTGCTGTAGGGGAAATAAAATTTCAAAAAAGGAGTACACATGAGGGTGGTTTTTGCGTAGTTATAAACAAATTAATGTATAGATCTTTAGAGAGTTAACTTACACATTTCAACTCCAGATTTCATGCAGCGGTAAACCTCAGAGAAAGCGTTGTACACCTTGTTATTTGCATCAATGAAAGCAGATGAATCACGTAGCGGTTGGACGACTGTAATTTTAAATGGCATGACTTCATAGATACATTAGCAAAATCTTATAATCAGAGTTTAGATTATTCTTTGCAAAAAAAGAACGAATCATGCATATTTATCATAGTTTTAAAATGCAGGACCTACTAATCATAGATTCTCTATTCCAAGAAAATCAGAAATACACATTACATGCTCTCATTTAAGTACAAACATATCGAAACTGGGTTAACTTAATTCAACGAACTCATTTAAAACTCAAGCTAACCCAGGTGAGCACCAAATATAGGGAGAAAAATCAGGTCATACAAGCAATCAAATTCACAAGCAAATAAAATTAGATACACCTTTAGAAATAACATTATCAAAACGATATTAAGTTGATAAACTCAGAACGAACTTAAGCGGCATTTTTATTTCATCTTTTTTCTTCACTCCTTAAGTTTTAATATTATCATATCCTATTCTCATTAAAAAAAAAGAACAATATATCTGTTTCTAGGTGCCTAACACATGTATGTTTTATCATTGCAAAACACATTTCTTTCTAGCTACAACTTAGAATTTGATTTCTGATTTTTTTGATACTATCACAATTACATGATTATCATCTATGTAGATGGAATTTGTATGTAAGTAAACAATTTCAATCACACAAAAAAAGATAGCGGTGAATGAAATCTAGCTTCCATTAGTATGTATAAAACACAGTGAATGAAAAAGAATCTTGTAACAGAAGAGAAAACAACTAAAATAGCATATGAGGGTGCAGGGTGATTATCCCTACTTAATTATAATTAAAGTATATAGAAGGTTGAGAAAGCCTAACAGATGATGCATCGATTGTAGTAGAGGAAAGCAAGACCAAGGCTAGAAGGTTGGAGTTACTTTTTAGGGAAAAGTACGGAAAAGGTACTTGTGGTTGGGCCCGTTTTCAGATATGGTCATGTGTTTCATTCTTTATCAAAGAGGTTCATGTGTTTAAATTCCGTTATCACAAGAGGGTCACGCCGTTAAAAACGTCTGAAAAAGACCGTTAAAAGTAACTCCGATTTTTAAAAGTGCCTGAAAAATTAAAAGAAAAATACCAAAAGGTGTGCCTCGTCATGATGACCTCCAAACCACCTTTGCCTTTGGATTTTTCAGATCTGTTTGAATTATTTTTTAAAAATGATTTCGCTAATATCACTTTTCCGATGGACTTTCCGATGACAAGGGTGGCTGAAAACCAAAAAGAAAGATGGCCTAGCGGTCGTCCTATTGAGGCGCACCTTCCGGTATTTTTCTTTTAATTTTTCCGGTACTTTTGAAAACCGGAGTTACTTTTTCAGGCGTTTTTAACGGCGTGACCCTCTTGTGATAACGGAATTCAAACACATGAATCACTTTGATAAAGAATGAAACACATGACCCTATCTGAAAACGCGCTCAACGACAAGTACTTTTTCCGTACTTTTCCCTACTTTTTATTCTAAATACCTCATCCGTCTGTACAAGTCTTTAATGACTAAAGCTTCACATGAAATACTAATTCTAGATTTAGTTCCATAGGAGCAATTACATAAGAGCACCTATGCACTTATCTAAGCATATCCAAACTTATGTAAGCTATATGACAGAAAGGTTTACTACTATATATGCCACGCACTGGTTTCACTTATATTCTTATGTTTAGGGGACAACATTACTTATTTTCTTCTTGCTACTATATCTTTAAAAAAGTCTTATAATTCATACTGTTGCCCTTACTACCTATAAGAAACTGCAGTAGTGTTAGAAATTTATTTAAAAGTAGACTCCATAGCTAAAATTAGACTTCAAAAATAAATTCTGAAACGATTGCAAATATAGACACCTTTTGCAACCCAAATACAATGGAAGGTGGGAAATTATCTTACCCCCAGATGAAACACGTTGAGCTCAAACTGCAAACAATCTGCCAAGCCTAAAAAAAATTAAAAAGAACATAGAAGATGAAATTAGTCTCTGAAAGCTAGAACTCAAATTCATGACAAGTATGGTTAAGTAGTGAAATTCTATAGTTAAAAGACATAAGAAGATGCTTTAAGAGAGTTTAGAAGTCTAGGGTTATGCAAACAGATTAAGGTGCTAGACACCCCGCGCTTGAAAAACAATATATATTATTTGGTAATATTATATGGCCAGCTAACTGGTCCACATGCTGCAAGTTATTTCCTACTCTTATGAGATGATATTAAGCTTTAACGTAAAGTAATCATCACTAAAAATCATGTAATCTGTATTGCATAAAAAATCCTATTCAGTAGTTATATATTGCTTGGGGCTTTAGTTGCCTGCAATTTGTAATTTAACGGAAATCTAAGTTTGTGTTAAAATTTACTAATGAAGTGATGTTTTTCCTATTAGCCACTCTGTACAGTCTATTAGCCATTTTCCAGTCTAAAGCCACTTTGCATTTTGGGCAGTGTGTCATATATCATAGAAACCTGAAATTACACACAAAATCTTTAATTTAAAAGCATTAAAAGACTTCATACATTATTACAAACCTAACTCTTCAACTAAACTACATGGCCCAATGGACAAGAGAAATTAAAGATAAAACACCATCTTTACATTTTATATATGCTTTGAATGAGCATTAAACAAATACAAATTATAAGGTGCACTCCAGGATTGTAGGTGTTATGCTTAAAAAGAAGATTATTGAAATTGACAACAATCTTTCAAATATTAAAAATGCAAATCCAACAAATTACTTAATTTCATGGGGACATTTAAACAAACACATAGAGGACATATATATAAAGGGGAAATTACACAATTGGAAGATGGAATCATCAACCTAAGGCACCCAAACTACTGCCATAAACATTTATGGGAGCAAGAATAGTACAATGACAGAGGAGTTAGGGAGGCAGTAAAATTGAAATTAGGGAAGCACACAAAAATCTTCACGGACAGGGAAGTAAGTACACAAAGGCGCAGGTATGAGCAGAGATGCGGAGAACAATGTAAATTGCTTGAATAAAGGAAAAACTTACCGGAGTAGTAGAACAACAGAGAATCGGAAAATCTGCTGAACAACTGAGACAGATTATTTATAATCCATAACCTGACCTTTGAGTAAGTAAACGGATCTTCCGACGCCATTACTATGGAGGCTAGAATGTGGAGAGGCTGAAACAGAAGAGGGGAGCTGAGGGGTTTCAACGATGCAAGAAATAAAAGAAAATACCTAGTGTAATGGAAGTTGCGATAGGTTTCATCGAGGTAATAGAAGACCCGATTTATTTCCTCCGTAAGTATACGGGACATTGAACCCTCCGTTAGTAACCTAAACTGGGATAGATTAACATAGTACAGCAAAATAAATATAAAGTACAATCACATCATACATGAAGAGACACTAACATTTTTTTTATGACCGTTAAACCCCTAACAAAACTCCCTCTTATAATATGGTAGAGATATAACTTTTTTATTCGTATTCTGATTGTTACAAAAAATACATCAAAATTCATAACTTTTTATTATCTTTCATATGAAACCATTATTAAATATATAAAACTAAAAACAAAATTTAACACGTTAAAATTATCTTTTTTTGCTAATGTTATATCTTTGCTATTTGTACTCCCATTGTTACAAAAAATATATTAAAACTCATAACTATATATTATATTTCAAAAGACCAATTTTGAATATATAAAAATTAAAAATTTAATTCTATTAATTTGTTCAGTTTATGATTGTTTT